ATAGCTTAATCCAATCAGCATCTAGAACCTCACTATATCCCCTATCCATTCTATCTCCATTCATATCAGAGACAACAACCCAAATTTCCAGCACTTTGAGCCTAATTACATCAAGATTATATCTACCTTTAGCCATACCTGAACCATGAACTATTTCATTCCTCCACCACCAAGTCATCCAACAAGTAACACCAAAAGTAGTCTCCCAATGAACGGCAAACAACCTTAGTGATTTATGATTTAAATTAAACAATATCCAGTCATGCAATTATAAATCAAAAAATGACGGTGACAAGATAAGAGAAAGCATTTGGCACCACAAATTTTTAATGTTCAAGCAGTCCTTTAACATATGCAAAATAGTTTCCTCACATGGTTGCAAACTGAACATGTTGGATCTCCAATTTATAGCCTATGCATTCTAGCTTTAGTTGGCAACCTGTCATGACCCACTTTCCAAAGAAAAATTCTTGTTCTTTGAGGGCTTTTTCACCTCCAAATAGCTTTCCATAACTCAGGTACCCCACTTTGTTGACTTTGAGAATAAAAAAAACCTCATACAAATATTAGATAGTTAATCTCGGATGACCAGGAATATGCCAGAATAGTCTATCCTCATCATCATTTCTACCAGGAGCTAGAATACTCCTAATGCAGTCAATAACATCTGAAGACAATCACCTCACAATCTCACCTACCTTCCAATTACCAGAAATATCCACATATTGATTAACTGACTTATTTACCTCCTCCCCAGGGATTGGTTGAATAGCCTGGTCCAAAAGCCTACCAGAATAAATCCATCTATCCTTCCAAAAAAGAATTGAGGATCCATCTTCAACTTCCCATAAAAGCAACTCTCCAAGTTTTCTCCAAGATTTACAGATATAAATCCAAGTTCTGGAATTCCTATTTTGGGATTTAAAAATATCTATCCCCTCTCTACCAACTGCATACTTAGCACGAAGAATCTGAACCCAAAGGGCTTGGAGATTTGAGTATACAGCCTAGGCTAGCTTAGCCATAAAGGCATCACTCATGGCACTAAGATTCTTCAAACCAAGCCCATCTTTCCCATTTGGTTTTGTGATTGTTTCCCATCCTATTAAATGCATTTGTCTTCTATCTTCAGTATCACCCCAAATAAACCTCCTTTGAATTTTTTTCAATCTCCAACCACACATTATTACGAAGTCTGCCAGATTGCATGTGAAAATAAGGAACAATAGCTAAGACTGATTACGCAAGAGTGATTCTACCCGCTTGAGATAAACACTTAGCTTAGCCATTCAATTTTTCTCTCACCCTATCAATTGTCGCCATATAGGACTCCTTTGAGACACGACCATGTTGCATCCAAGCTCCAAGATAATGGCCTATATTCCTTACCCTCTTACATCCACAAAATTCAGTAATATTTGCAGCCACATCTTCCGGAGTATTCTTTGAAAAGAAAATACTGGTCTTCTCTACGTTAACTTTTTCACCTGATATTTCACCAAATAGATCAATACATTTGAGTATAATATGAATCTAATCCATATTGGCCTCCGTAAAAAGCATAAAGTCATCAACAAACATTAAGTGTGAAATTTTTGGCCCCTCCCTGCCAACATGAATGGGCTTCCATAACTCCCCCCTCACTGCTGTGTCAATTATATGAGGCAATTTTTCCATTTCCATAACGAAAAGATATAGAGATAATGGATCCCCTTGTCTGATCCATCGTGTAGGTTGAAACTCCTCAGTTATACTACCATTCCATAAGATATTAATTCTTGTGGAGGAAATTGCTTGCAAAATAATATCAACTGATTTTTTAGGGAGCTTCATTTCATGCATAATATTTTTCATAAAATCCCAGTTTAACTTGTCATATGCCTTCTCAAGGTCCACCTTTATAGTCATGAAGACTTTATTTCCTCTCATGCGATGCATAGTATGAATGAGCTCTTGCACCACTATGATATTATCTTGTATATGCCTTTATGGAACAAAGCTAGCCTGCATAGGGGATATTGCCTTCATTATGACTGATTTCAGTCTCACAACCACTATTTTACTCAATATCTTGTAGATATCCAGGCATAAAAAAATGGGCCTGAAATAAGTAATATGAGATGGAGACTGGCTTTTTGGGATAAGGACTAGAAGTGTTGAATTTATGGTTGAAATAAGGTCAGGATAGCTCCAGACAACATCAACTAGATTAAGAATCTGATTCTTTATAGCATCCCAATTTTCTTTGAAAAAATATCGCAGGAAAACCATCTATACCCAAAGATTTTAAAGCACCCAAATCAAACGCAGCATGCTGGATCTCCTCAACCGAAAGAGTTTTATCCAATTGCAATCTATCCTCCCGAGTCATCTGGGGCCATAAATTTTCTGAATCCAGCCATTTTCTAACTGCAATCTCTTCCTTAAAGTGATTTTTATAAAATCCGCAAGCTATATTTTCTAGTTCCTCTGGATTTATAACCATCTATTAGCATCATCTTTCAGCCTAGATATTTTATTTCTATTTCTGCTAATGATTGTGCAGAGGTGGTAAAATTTTGTGTTACGATCCCCATTTCTAATCCACTGCTGTCTAAATTTTTGGAACCAAAGTCTCTCCTCATCTTCTAAATTTTTCCCAATCTCTATATGACAATTTTCCTCCAATCTTTTTAAACCTTCTGATTCACAATTAATTCTCTGATTATGGATGCGATCCAACTTTTTAAGTAACCTTTCCTTCTTTATATGGATGTTTCCAAAAACCTTCTTATTCCAATCCTTCACTACAGGAACAAAACGCTACAACATATAAGGGACATCAAAATTATTATTCCACTCAGTCCTCAAAAGTTGCTGAAAATCATGGTGATCTTGCTACGCAGCTACACAACGAAAAGATCTCTTATGAGAATTAACATTTTTTTCAAGCAACTCCAGCAGTACTGGATTATGATCTGAATAAATTATAGGCAAATTTTTTACTTTGGCCCCATCATATTCCATTCTCCAAACCAAATTGGCAACAACTCTATCCAACCTTTTATATACTCTATTTAGATGACCTCATTTCAAACCTTGCCATGTATATTGAGATCGAGAACAATAATGATAAATAAGAAAATAATTAATTAAATAATATAGTGAAGGACATAAAGTTATATCCTTCAAAATAATAAATATTTTTTTCTTTATTTAATTTTTGTATAATTTATTGATTATGCATTCTTATTTTTTATACTAATTATTAGTATAAGATGTATAATTTTTTTGTTATTATTGTAAAAGATAATAAAATAATGAGTAAATACATTTTTCGGTCCATAGAAAATTTTAGGATGTCCGCTTTAGTCCCTAGCAAATAAAAAGGCTATTCGTGGTCCCAAAGAAATTCAAAGTGGACCAATTTTAGTCTTTTTGAGGGACTAATGTGGGTTCTTTTTGAATTTATGAGAGACCAAGATTTCAACTAAATGGGTCCATTTTGAATTTCTTAGGGACCACGAATAGTCTTTTTATTTGCTAGGGACTAAAGCAGACATCGTGAAATTTGTTGAGGACCAAAAATGGTATTTACTCTAAAATAAAATAGAGATTTTAGTGAATATAGACTATTTTTGAGGAAAAGTTATCAAAACATAGTTAAATTGAATAAAAAATCCTTTCCTAAAACAAAAAATTAAAAATATTAATTAAAAATATTTTCCATATTATAAAAAATTTATTAATATGTTAAAATAATAGCTTTTTTACATATAAATTATATGTATAAAGTTAAAAGGTACATCTAAATATTATTAGAAATAAATCAAATCAAATCAAGTTATATAATATTAAATTTATATATTTAATATTTTTAAATAGATATATTAAAATATATTTTGCTATAAAATATGGAAATTGTTTATTTCATTTAACTGAGATAAACTTATTTTCTTACACTCATATATATAGGAGAGAGAATAGAGGAGAGGAAAAAAGTATAAATGAGTCACATCAGTCAATATGTAAGTGTAAGAAAATAAGTTTATTTCATGTTAAATGAGAAAATAATTCTTCATAAAATTTTCTTAAAACAAAATAAACTACTTCAATCGTATAATAAATAGTTTTAGGTATTATCGTTTATCGTGCACTATGAGTCTGAGTTAAGTTATCTGCTATAATTCCAAAAGAATTTCGTTTTGTGGTTTGAAAGAAAAATTAAAATATTTTAGTAAAATCCATGACATAGGAGGAGAAAAATAAAAATTTTAAAGTACCTTGTTTGGTTTTACTAAATTTCAAGGGAGAGTTTTATACTTATAATTTATTTTCCCTTGCAATCTTTTACAATCAATTTTTTTATCATTAGGTCAAAATAAAATCAACTTTATAAAATAATATTAAGTTAAAGTTGTTGATTTAATTTTGATCCAATAAAAAAAATGATTGTAAAAGGTTGTAAAGAAAAATACGTTGTAAATATAACTTCTTTAATTTCAAGATAAGAGATAACACTATCTCCTATTACAACATAAATAATTTTTTTCATATTTATATATTAAATAAAAAACTTATAATTATAATATATATATATATATATATATTTTTTTTTCATTTGATCATTTGAATAATGATAAGTTGATAACTATTATTCGGAATGATTTAATTATTAATATCATGGTGAGCAGTTTAAGTGCTAACTTTTTATTCGTTAATTTTAAATTGTTAAAATTTCATTACAATGTAATTTAATTAATAGTATTATCTATATTGAGCAATTATTTTTTGAATTTTTTTTTTGACTTTCTAAAGAATATAAAATTAAATTATGTTATTTTAAGTAAGAAAAAAATATAAATTAATATTTTTTATTTAAAATTTAAATTAAAAATATATCTACTTTCTTTTCTATAATTTTCATTATTTTATATTTCTATCACTTAAAATGTGACAACTATATCTCTTTTAAAATACAAACATCAATCCCATTATTTAATGCTATTTAATTTGTATAGGCAAATTCCTCGTGTCTATACCGCTGACCACATTGCTTTCTTTAGGAATCGTCTTCTTCTTCCTTCCTCGCGTTAGGGTTTGCAGAGTTCCAGTTTTGCCTTTGTTCCTTCGCGCCTTGCATATGAGCTCCTATTCATGCGGTTTTTCGATTCCGTTTCTGTAACTCGCGAAATCCCACAACCGTATCGTGCGACGCGGTATGATATACGTATTTTTTTTATTTATATTTCAGCCTTCAACGTGCTATGCGCTTGGCATGTGGTTTTTCTTGTTAATATTCTATGAATTTTATATTTTTTTTTTGTTTCCCTTTTGCATCTCTGATGTCGCATTTGGGTTCGTTGCTCAAATTAATGATTGGTAATGTGTACGGTGCGCTCTTTTTTCAATTTTTTGATTGTTTGGGTGAAATAGTTGAATTTTGTTTTGATTCTGAAATATGTTTGCTTAGTTTTATGGAAAATAGAAGGACGCTTATGATTTGCTTCTTGATTTATGACCATGCTTGATTTGTATTTCAACTCTATGTAGTGTGGCTGCAAATGAAGTGACAATTTAGGTGAGAGCTGTTATAGGCAGAAAGAAATGCAGTTATGGTCTTAGTTGAGTAATTTGTTATTGTTTCATAAGGAAGATTGGAATTTTACATGCAGGTGTAAGTAGTGTTTTCACATAAGTTTGGCAAGAAATGTTTTTTTTTTTTTTTTTTTGGGTATCCAAATCGGTTTAATATGGTTCGAGCACACTCAGAACCATATTAAGGCCGACTCTCCCAACACCATATTGGGAGCCAGTAATGTGTTTTTAATTAAGTGGTTTGAGGATTTGGCAAAATCATTAATCCTGTTAATACCTCAAGTGCATTCAGTTGTCTTCATTTACTGAAGTAGAGTGGTTTTTTCACCTCTTGAACATATTGTAGCTCCTTCAGGTCTAAACAACTCAGTCTGTGTTGGCAGTGGTACCCTGTGTGGTTTGAAGTTGTGTAACTGTGTGATTATAGCTTGTAATCACAACATTTTTATCTTACCATGCTGGTACTTATGGAGCAAGCTACTTAATGAGAATTCTAATGATAGTTTCATCCTGCCAAATGCCAAATTAAAGCATACAATTTATGGTTAAACCTTCAGTGTATATCATGGTTAAAGAGTTTAGCTTTTCTCAATGTGCGGTAGCTTGATTGAATTGATATCTCTAGAATTATATGGAAGTTTGGGTTTGGCGTTTAATTAATAGAATTTAGTACTGGCATCAGTTCCTGTTGAAAATAATAAAATATACTCTGGATTACATTAGTAAAATGGTAACTAGGGGATTCAGTTCATTTACAAAGGAGTATGTTGTCTTCAGGTAAACTAGTGAATTCCTGTGTCATAGCTACATTAACTTCCTCTGTACATGCATTTGTTAGGTTGAGAAAAGTGGAATTTGCATCGGGAAATATTTATTTCTTTATATTAAAATAAGTGAGTGCGTGCTGCCTGTAATTTTTCTTAAAACATTAGATCCTGTAACTTTTTGCATTACTAAGATATTGTTCCTTTTTGTTATGAGCTGAAGCTCATTTCCTTTTCTATACTTTGGTATGTATTTTCTCTAAAAGTACTATTTAGACAAGTTATGTAGAAGTGATATTTTGAAAGATTTTTGGATGATAGAAAACTGTGGAGATCAACATCCATGGATCCTGGATCCATCTACTCAACTCCTAAAGTAGTGCCATTAAAAATTTATTTGGTGAAATTATTTTTCCCATGCCTGCATGAATATTGTAAATTTCTTTTTACCTTTTGGATGCGGTTGTTGTCTGGGGATTGGTTGGCCAATGGCCAGGCATTTGATGATTTATGATAGAGTCAATTCTGAATGATATTGCAAAGATGATACTTATGGAACTTTTTTTGGCTGATGGTTACAAGTCCAGAGGTACATAATGCAGAGACAAGTTCATAAGTTTTCCAAATTAGATGCACTTTACAACTAGGTTAGTTCTCACACCTGAAGCTGTAGTGCTGAATATGTTTGACGATTTATGTGAGTTGATTCTGAAGAATATTGCAAAGATGCTGTATATGGAACTTATTTTTTGTTGATGGTTGCAAGTACAGAGGTACATAACTTAGAGACAAGTTCACAAGTTTTCTGAATTAGATGCACTTTATCAATAGGCTAGTTCTCAACCCTGCTGCCTGTAGACTGTAGTGCTGAATATGTTTGGTGTGCCAGTGATCTTTCCTTGTGGCTTGTGCCTCTAAGATCATTGGTGGAGAGTGAGACTAGAGAGCACGGGAGAGAAGTCTGCTGGTTAGATCCCTATAACATAGCATAAGATGTTATTAATTAGGTTGAATGGATCTTGCCTGAGTGGATACAAAAAACACTTTATGTCGGTGGTCAGTCTAGAAGATTTACTCTTGGGATATTATTATGGATTATGAATACTACTTGCATTCAGTTCATTTTGTATTGAGAGTAAAGCAAACAATAGTTCAATTTATTTTTTTGGCGGGGTCTTAGATGTATCCAAAAGCCACTTTGAGCCATGACTAATCCGAGTTGAGCTGGGTGGACCCACTTCTGGGAAAAGCTCTCATGCCTGTTTTTTCCATTCACAAGACTCAAATCTAGATTTTGCTTAAGAGGAACTGAGCTCCTTATTACTCGGACCAATAGGTTTTGGTACCATTGGGGTTGCAATTTTCTGAATTTGACTTTTAATTTATCTGTTATCCATAAAACACTTGATCTTACCCCACATCTTGATGTTGATCTTCCCCCTTTCATGAAGGCATTATGTTAGTAAAATGCATCCATGCTCCCCTGCACACATGCCTTTTGACATTAATGCAAATCTGCTCTTTCTTCAGGTATATTGGAATCTCAACAGGGCTCTAATTGATGAATTAATTCCAAAAATGAGCAATTCACACTCTGAAAATCACGTAAGTGATTTATTCTTTGTAATTACATCATTTACTCCTAGTAGTAGCCTAGTTGGTATGAAAGATACAATCTACCTGCAGGATGAAGTAACTGTCGTGGGATTTGAAGTTCCGAAGTCTCCTGACTCCAGTTACAATAATGTCTACCCTGGAAATGAAGATGAGGCACGGGATCCGCCTATGGTCCCTTCACATTTGCACCACCCTTTGCTCAGTTATCCTGCTAGTAGAGACACTTCAGGAACTCTTCCATTGCCTCAGCATGTGATTCTAAATCATCTTTATATTGAGAATAGAGAGTCACCAAGATCTGTGGTGTCATTGGGATTTACCCATCGCTTCCGTTCTAAATATGTTACTGTCGTTCTCTACAAACCAGTCTAAAGAAGCGGACGTACAAGCATTAATGTGCATATTAATCACTATTGGTTTGTAATGATTTATTGTAGACTCGATAATCCAATTGCAGGAAATGATATTTTTATGAACTTTATATTGTTTCTTGGTAACTTTGCTATGTGTTTATTTGCAAATTCGTTTTTAATGTTGTGGTGCAGGTTACCCAACCAGAAGTTTTGGGTAGTGGTTCAGTGGATAGGATGGTAACATGGGGATTTATAACGATTCACTAACCTATATTTAAAAGTAAAAGTAAAAATAAAATAAAACCGTTAATTTTTATCCTGAAAGTATTATAGAATGATAAAAATCTTCTTTGTGAGTATTACTTAATAATAAATATTATTATTTAGAGATATAAATAAGATGTAACAATTTCAATGTTTTTTGAAATTTAAACTTTAGATGGCCTGAGGGTTGCTCTTAACTCATAGGGTTTTATGAGTCTTTTGGGCCTAACTTGCATGAACTAGGGTCCAATGGGACACCCAGTCTTATTTTGACAGCTCTATTAGAAATAATAATACATTTATGGGTTTTATAAGAGTTATGTTGTAGGAAAAGTGATTGTGTAATGTTATAGAGATTCGTTTTGCGTGCCTTAATTTTTTATTTATTTTTTTGTTTTAAAAAGTGTGGACCCCACAAAATATTGTGAGGGTGGGAAAGTTTGTTGTGTTATGTTAAAGGATAAAACTAAAACCCTACATTTATTGGTTTAAACTTTTGGGTTAAACTAATTGTATTACATGATATTAGAATTTTTGTGATTAAGTAATTACGATCTCGCCCTTTAAGCCCAAAGACTCTTACTTGAGGAAATTGGTGATGGAGTGAAACTTTCAATTCACCTCCGTTTTATCGTGGGTTGGCTGTCAACCCTTCTATAGCAAGAAATCAAGAAAGAGAGTCAAAAAGATAGATTGAGTGAAATGTTTTAGAAAAAAATGAGATTTTTTATCCAAATTATCAAATTAACATTTAAACAATCCACATCCAATTCGCTTTAAACCACCCTTAAAGTGGCAGGTTAGAACATGTAACCCAACCTGCCAAATTAATCGGTTAGGCGAATTTATCCAACGGGTCAAATCAGTTTTACCATCTTTAACAATAATATCCAATGAATCAAAACTTATTATTAATGCTAATAAAACATTTATTTACATTCATTTTTTCTTTTAGATACTGTTTTTTTTTTTCTCCTTTGTACTCTAGTTATTTTTATCTATATTAATGTGAGGTGGTGTGCACTCACAAAATGTGTACCAAATTACATTTCTTAACCTAAGAAGTAAGAAAATATTTTGATGAGACGTTATTGAATACACTTGTAAGACAATATTTATGTCTCTAAATAATCATATGCTAACAATGATTAACACAAAAAATAAAATAAAAAAATACAATGGTTAAAATTAGAGACAAGTCCTGAATAATACTATATAAGAGTATTGTTTTACACTATATATATGTACTAGAAATCTTCTATATGGTTCATATGAATATAGCTTTGTTTAAACTTTGGCAACTGTAGTTGGGAATCCCATTGGCTCTTACATTATCAACGGCTTCCCTAGTATAAATACAACATACTCTTTCACAACTTCATCATTTCTCAAATCAATTGAACTCTTCCTCATTTCCTCATTTTCATAGTTATATGCTTCTGTTTCTGTAGTTTTCCACACTCAACAAAGGTAACTAAACTATAAAGACCAAATGGCTGATATTAAGGGGTCTCCAGGAAGCTCCATACATGGAGTAACAGGGAGGGAGAAAACATACATAGCCTCAGTTGCTTCCCCAATGGTTCCAACTGACACCACAGCAAATTTTGCTTTGCCAGTTGATTCTGAGCACAAAGCCAAGGTTTTCAAGGTGTTCTCTTGAGCCAAACCCAACATGAGAACCTTCCACTTATCTTGGATATCCTTCTTTACTTGCTATGTCTCAACCTTTGCAGCAGCTCCTCTTGTCCCCATCATTTGTGAAAACCTCAACCTCACAAAAAAGAAACATTGGCAATGCCGGGGTTGCTTGTAATGGGAGTAGTTTGTGACCTATTAGTCCCACGTTATGGCTGTGCCATCCTTATTATGCTTTCAGCCCCAACAGTGTTCTGCATGTTATTTGTGAAAGATGCTGCAGCAGGATATATAGCAATGAGGTTCATGATAGGATTCTCCTTGGCCACTCTAGTTTCATGCCAATATTGGATGAGCACCATGTTTAATAGTAAGATTATAGGGCTTGCAAATGGGACAGTAGCTGGGTGGGGTAACATGGGTGGTGCCACTCAGCTCATAATGCCATTGGTCTATGAATTGATCAGAAGAACTGGGGCTACTCCCTTCACTGCATGGAGGATTGCCTTCTTCATCCCAGGTTGGTTGCATGTCATCATGGGGATCCTTGTCTTAAACCCTAGTCCAAAATTTACTATATTGCAACCTCGGTGCTTTACAGAAGAAGGGTGATGTTGTTAGAGACAAGTTCCAATAGGTTTGTCTGGTTCTTCTGTATACGTTTTAGGACTCGTTCAATAGATGGATTACGTCCATTATTAATTATTGATTCCACTTGCATCTAACAGCTCTAATTCATTAGTCACGTGAGCCATCAACCATACATATGAGTGTAATCAATGATTAACGATAGAAGTAAGACTAGTTAAACTTACATCAGTATAAATTAACCCTGCCTAAATCAATACATTAAATCTATTACTTCATCTGCCTGGACCATGGAAAAGTAAAAAACTGGAAAAAGTAGGACGAAATTCTGGGGAGAAAAAAAATCTTTGAAGTAATTAACTGATTAATTAATTTGGTTTCAATTTTGTGTTTAGGTGTTATGGTATGCCATAACAAATTACAGGACATGGATTTTTTCCCTCCTTTATGGGAGTTGAATTAAACAGTGACAATGTCATTGCTGAGTATTTCTACGACAGGTTAGTTCAGCTCCTTGAGCTCAAGCCTCAAGGCCTCAAATTTTGTTGTGCATGAATCTGATCACTTGCAAACTTAATTAATTAATATAAAACAGAATCTCAAGCTGCACACTGCTGGAATCATTTGGAATGGCAAACATTGTAGCTCGCCCCTTGTTTGGCATGAGAAGCAGGCTTTGGACCCTGTGGATTCTCCAAACCTTAGGATGGGTTTTCTGTATTTGGAGGTAATACCAGAGTAAATCCCTTAAATATATGTCCTACAAATTGATTCCTTTAAAATGGTAAATTCCGAATAGCGAAGGAAGGGGGTGAGAGAATCCTTGTATATAGTTTTACTTTTGCATCTTTGCAAAGAAGTTATTTCCCATAGCAAGCTATTCCTTATAACTGAAACGTCATATGTTCGAATTCAGAATGTCGCTTTATAAAAATATAAGGGTAAAGTTGCTTACAAGAATTACACTCGTCTCTACAAATTTGTTGCTTTGTTTACTAATTTTATAATAAGGGAGAGGAATTTAATTATGTTCCTTAGAGACGGATAGCTGAAGGGAGCAGCTGCTCCGCAAAATTCTGGTGCTCAGGTTTTGAATAGTACAATATGCTTCTGTGCTTGAGCTGTTTGCTAGGTACATACGTATGTTGATACAGATTTCACTATATCCATAACAAGTTCCAATTAGAGCATTGCTTCCCAACGAATATGTTGGTATTACAAAGTTGAGGGTTTGATGGAGGCAGAACCAAAGGATAGATCGATATCTCTGAATTGTTACTGTGGTGAGCTTAGGTCTGTATCCTTAGAGATGGTAAAATATCTCGTTTTAATTGTGTTTTCAGAGGCTGTGGAATGGACCAAAGTTCTATGAGGGAGTCTCCGTATGTATCTCAAAGATAGCTAAGAGAGGGGGAATGGTGTAACGGGCACGGTGACTCTATATTTTGGCAGAGTAAAAGCTCATAAATGTGATGGATGCAAAATGCTCCTTCGATGGGAAAATATTTCCTAATAATTAGAGAGAGAACGCCATAACTGTTTTTGCCCGTGTCCTCACTGTTGTGCGTAAGGTAGTGCAACTCCAACATGCAGGAGGTGAGCCATAGAAGGGGTCAAAGATCCTCAAAGGTAAGAGTCTAAAAGTCTCACTTTAGGGATGCAGGAGAGAGACCCTTTAGATTGGCCTCTAAGGGCCAGCTCATAGACTAAGGCCAGTCTAGAACACCTTCTCTATCACCACCTCTTGTATATGCCTCTTAGTAAAACATCCATAGATGATCTCCAAGGTCCACCAAGCCAAGGGGAAAAAAAGATGTTCTGTTTTTATTTGAGAAAAATGTTTCTTGCACATCTTCTACTTCATACCATTCCTTGGACCTTCTTGTTTGGGAAAAAAAAGATAGAGAGAACATGAGTCAGAATGTATGTTTCTCTTGTTTTATTATTCAAAAGGAAGTAGCGTAAAAATTTTGTAATGAAAATGGTGGGTTTCCTGGGCTTCACCCATGGAAATGCTAATACTACGCTTAAACTTCAAGAGATGGACGGTTGCGTGACATCTTGTTTCTCAAGTGTTTCTAAAAACACTATATGTCCTATTCTGTGCTTTACTTCAATACAAATATTTGTGGACCATGTTCATTATTTGACAAGGGATAAATCTTAGGCACGTCAAGAAAAATAAATACATGAATGTAAGGTGAAACACAACTTGAATAATGAATAACCAATTTTTATATAAGGAAAAGATACTTGCAAAAACTGTGGGGAATGTACACAATCTGAATGATTAAGAAAAGTTACATGGGATCAGGGTGTTATCCAACAACTTGCATGGGAATATATGAAGAGTGTGTAAGTTTATGCAAATATCATTACTCTTCTTCATAAATAGTGACAGTAGATTAAAATTCTATTCTCTCAACACCCAACATGGTGCATTTCAACTCAAAGCCTATATAGTTCTGCATATGCAACAAAAGCATACTATACACTGCCATTGAAATATATATACATAAAATTTTGCTTCATGGAGAATAGATAAAGTAAAACAAGTGAATGCTAATCACTCACCAGCTCTAGTTCATTATGTTATCTCATTCTGAATTGTGATTTCAAGAAGACCATATGTAATGCGGAGGCTCTGTGGCTTTTGAACTGGGAAAAAGAGCTAACCTAGTAGCTTAGCTTCCCACTGCCACTACAGGAAGAACAGGATCGAGCAGAAGAGCACTTTGTACAATAGCTCCACTTCTTTGGAAGCCTGGTGTAAGTAATCAAGTTGAATGGCTAAACTCAAAAATTGAAGATTAGAGAAAAAGAGAGATAAGAAAATAGTACCCAGCTGTGAATCGAGTAGCCATATTCTTAGATTGCAGTCTTGCCCTCTCAGCACTTTCCTCAGAAAGTTTCCTAAGCACGAATCCTTCACCATTGCATTCTGAACATATACCAGAACCTCCACAATCTTCGCATACTTTATATTGAATCTTTAATTTAAAATAAAAGTAATTAATTTAAACAAACAGTTTCACATGAAAAAAACAATTTGGCAGATAATGTAATCACATTTAAGATAAGAATTCAAGTCTTCCTTATTAGTAGCAGGCAATACTGGCACATAATGTAATCACATGTAAGTACAATTAATTATCTTATTTACACTAACAATATAGATGGGTTACTGACCTGTGATGACTCAGAAGCTTTGGATCTCCTAACAAGAAGAGTGGCCGCTGCACCAACAAGAGTTGCAGCAACTGCCACTGAAGCTGCAGTTTCAGGCAGTGCATATGAGACAGTGGACAATCTCCTTCCTTGCAATTGTGACTTCACATCTATTAGAGAATAATATAAACCATTAAAAAGGTCCTCACCTGACACTTTAAGGTTGTGGGTTGAAGTGGTTCTTTACAACATCTATTCAAGAAATAAAATGAGACTAGCAAATACAGCTTTCCCTTTTCATTTTACAACATGGACAGTCAGGTAGCCGTGAGTTTCATCAGTGGATCCCTTTCTTAGGGACACCTTAAAACAGGAGATGGCAGAGTCATTTTCAAGTGAGTATAGTAAGTAACTGCATTTTATCTTTTAATAATATATTAAGATGAATGATTAATTATTACCAATGAATTAAAAATAGAAAAAGGAATTGAATCAAAATGGAAAGGGATCACAACAGCAAAATTACCCTTGAATAGTTAATAAGATGTTAACATTAATAACGATGTACACAAATGATTTTTCCAATTTAGTGAGTACTTAGTACCTAAAATTCATTCTATGTTTAGTATTTTAAAAAGAAAGTGAACAATCATCTAGTAAGAAAATCAACGCATAACCAACAATTATTGTTTCAAGTGATAAGAAACTTGTTCCCCTCGATCAGAGGTTTCGAGTTCTAACCCTAAGAATGGGGAAAAAATGGTCTTGGGAGAGCCGCTCCCTATAATAGGTTCGACAGTACTTAAACTGGATTAATCAAATAATCAATGAATCGGGAGATATATCCAAAAATAAATAAATAAATAAAGACATAGAATATCCATCAATCATCTGGAAGTTTACTTGACATTTGAAAACTTTCAAATCAAATTAATTCGACCAAAACTAGATAAGATGAGTTTCCACTTTTGGGTTTCCCCCTGCACCATCAAATCTAATTAACTTAAAAAAGAATCACAGAACAATATCATGAAATCACACAAGATTCATTGAAGAACACAGTTCCAACCAGAATTAATTCTCGTGTCTTAATTTTGGATTTCATTTGAGTTAACACTTAAGACTAATCCTATGTGTCTGAAAAATGGTGAAGGTGAACTATATCTACCGGACTATAGCTCCATAAAGATAGCAATGAATTGGCACGGTGGTTCCACCGAACAGAAGAAGCACCCAATAAAAGCCACATTGAATATATATATGTGAATATAAACTACTAGCTTTATAAAGTTTGAGTTACCATATAATTATAAATCATCAAGTACAACAAGGATTGATGAGTAACAAATATAGAATTCACATGACAGAAGCTGTTTGGTTGCTATTTATTTAGGAAAACAACATGAAGGAAATATCTTACTGTGAGAGAAGCAAGGAAGTGATATAGGGTGGTGAAGAACAAGATCCATTCAGATAATTATCCTGTTCTATCCACCAACTATTACTCTCTCTGCTTCCTTATCCCCTTCCTTCTTTGCCTTTCCAAAAATTTGTTGGTAGCAAAATATAAATAAAGCATTACGGAAAAAAGTAAAAGAAATAAGAGAGATAGAGAATAGTCACCAAACCATTGATATAAATTAATAATTTATTTATTCTTTTAATATGAACTTAAATAAAATAAAGCATATTTTTAAAAAATTTACGTATAACAGATACATTTCAAAAGAAAAAGGATGGAATTATAATTGTTAATTGAATGTTAATTTTTTTATGAACGTTTATAACTCTATATTTTTTTCTTTAAAAGTAAACCTTTCATATCAATAAAGCTAATTTCTTTAAAAAAAAAATTGTAATCTTTTTGGGTACACACCTCACAAGAATTAATATAAATAGAGGTGATAAAGCGAATAATCTACTCTTCATTCAACTCGTCTTAAAAATGACTCAATTCGTCACGTGAGTTGAAAAATTAAACTCATCCTGACCCATTTCTAACTCGCTGTGCTCGGTTAATCTATTAACATATTAGAAAAGTGAAAATTTAAGTGAGGTGAGTTCAAATGGGTTGGTGAGTTAAAAATTTCAACCTCGCTATTCGTGGGGAGTTAAACGGGCTAACCGGACGGGTTGGACCCACTTTGTCACCTCTAAATAAAGAAAATATTTTTTAAGGTTCGGGAGCACTTATAACTCGATGCTCTCTCCCACAAGACCAAATTTTTCTCTCTTTTTATCTTTGTTTTTTTTTTCTCTTCCACTTTTTACCCTCTCCATTTTCAATGGTGGTCCCAAAGCATAAAAAATGCTCTCCTAAATGAAATACATCTTTATTAAAAGAAATTCTGAGAAAGGAAGAGAAAATTAAATTATGAAAACTAAAGATTCTACAAAGTTCATAACAAAAGTCATATTTGTAAGTAACGTTATTCATTAAAGAGAGAGAGAGAAATGGTCACGAAAATATTAATTTATTATTTTTGATTTCTCACAAAAGTTTCTATGTCTGAGACTAATATTATTTTAAACATGTTATAGCATAGTTTGGCCATAAATAATAAGGTTGGCGAAACGGGTCTCACAAGCTGAGCCAGTCCTATTAATTTTCCATTAACGAGTTGAGTTACAAAAATTGATCCCATCAATTCACACAACTTGACTCTCATATAAGATATAATGACTAGGTCATGAACAATGCCTTCTGCTGGGTATTTTGCACTGTGTGTAGCAACTGGTAGATCTTAGAATGAGCAAAATGAGTTTAGAGACCTAATTTGGCAATTTTAATGCCAAATAGGAGTTTAGAACGAAAAACTGTATAGTCCGTGACTTTTCGTGAAAATCTCATGAATAGTGTTTTCTGCCGGGTATTTTATACCGCTGTTTAAGTAACCGGTTTCAGAACTAAATAATTGATGAAATAAGAATAAGAAAGTCCAATATATGCCAAACGAGTCATAATAGACCCAAGAATGATAAGTTTATAAGTTTTAAGTTTTCGTATGCAAACGGTGCACAATTAGTAATTCATAGTGCATTTCGTCAAAAACGGTGCAGAAATCCTACTGTGAATTATTAATAGTGCTCCTTAGGGAATAAAAATTAATGTAAACGAGTTCAGAAAAATAAAAATATGTTCGTAGCTTTAAGTTAGTGCGGGGTCAATTTAAATGAAATTAAGTGAGAGAAAAATGACCGGTAAAATGCCACATGTGCATATAAGTCAAAGTCACTAAAGTATGGCACTATTCACTTCAGATTTTCCTTCTTCTCTCTGTCCTTGGCCGAGCTTCTCCTCCATGGAAGAGCTTAGGTTTTCTTTTCTTTTTTCTTTGATTTCTCACTCCACAATCATCCAAATCCTTAAGTGCATTACACGAAATTTATAGTAAATCATCCAAATAATCCATTCCACCACTTTGTTTGGGCTGAAATTGCTTGTGGGAAGAGTTCCTCCTCCTCTACAACTGTGGCACTATTCATCCAAGTGTAAAAGTGTGGATTTTGAGTGAGCCAAGCTTGTATTTTGTTCTTTGGACCTTGGATAAGTGATTTGAGGTAAGAAATCCTCATTCTAATGGTTTGATTTATATGATTTAAGTTTTGAATAATATGAGCACTTTTGGTGGGAAATATTTGAGTTTGAAATTTGAATTGGTTGATGAATTAGTGTTGTATATGAAGTGTTAAGGTGAGATAAACATGATTATGTGTATAAATTTTGAAAAAAATCCCCTTGGACCACTACACTAGGTTCAGCCACATTGGGAATGTAGGGGTTTAGTGTGCAAAAATTAAATGTAATAATTAGTTTAGGTTTATATGTATGTGTAAGTTGTGAATTAAGTGTTAAATTAAGAATGCAAAAGAAAAATCCCTTGGAAACCTTCCCTTTAGATTTCGACCTATAGGGATGATTAGGGATGGATTATGTTAAACTTTGTTTTCATGATGTGTTGAGGATCCAATGCATGGCATTGGTAGGATTATGAAGTGAAATAGATTAAGAAATGAAGAAAGGCATTTTGGTTCCTTTGTATGGATGCCTCGACCTTGTGAAGGAAAATATGCCTAAGTTGTGTTTAAATTGTTAAAGGGAATGCATAAATAACTTATGAACCTTTGGTGGTATGAAATGAATTGATGAAAATCCCTAGTTTCCCTTGGTATTGGCTTCGGCCATTGTATGACGTTTGGGGCTAGGAATTGTTAAAAATTGTAAAGGATATTTTAGAAGTTTGGATGGGTCATTCTAAGACCCTATGTAAATGTGAAACAAGGTGGTTGCTTGTGTTGCGAGTAATCATCCTTAAATAGTCTAATAAGAGAGCTTAAAGATTACGGTCTTGACTTGTGAATTGGCATAGGATTGGCATAAGTGTGAAGAAATGAAAGTAAACAATAAAGTGTATGTCTTGTAATTACATGACATTGTAGCATTTTATTGAGTTTTGTTTTGGATTCTTTCTCTAGGTGTGCCTAGGGACTATGAGCATTTGGATTCCTTTGGAGCAAGATAAATAGCTTGTTCTTCAAGTAAGCAAATTGTAAAGCTTCAAGAGGTAAGCTCTATGTTTAAGGAGTCTTTTCCTACTTGAGTGCTCCACCATGGTTAGTGGACTATGGTTAGATTATATTATTGTATTTGATGCTTTGTATAAATGCATTCATATAGAGCTATATGATGTTATGATATATTTTGTTCTGATGTGATTTCTGTAATGATCTTTGGCCATTGATTGTATGTGCACTGATGTTTGCTTGGGGTCTTCCCTCGGGACTGACTGTGTACACCTATGATATGTTTTGGTTCCGCTTGGGGTCCTCTCTTGGGAACACGTGTGTTGATTTCTGCTTGGGGTCCTCCCTTGAGAATGACTACATATGCCTCTGATAAGATATGTATATATGTTTTGTTCAGTTATGATATCTGTTATATGATGCCTTGTATACTCTATATCTGACTTTCATGCAGGAGTGGATCCAGAGTATGGAGAATTCTCTATAAATCTGGAGCTTATTGAGATTTGTTATCTCATCCCGTTTAGGAACATCATTTCAGGTGTGCAGACTACCGGTGAGCATACACGAGACATCATATAGAGCTATATGATGTTATGATATGTTTTGTTCTGATGTGATTTCTGTAATGATCTTTGGCCATTGATTGTATGTGCACTGATGTCTGCTTGAGGTCTTCCCTCGGGACTGACTGTGTACACCTATGATATGTTCTGGTTCCGCTTGGGGTCCTCCCTTGGGAACACGTGTGTTGATTTTCGCTTGGGGTCCTCCCTTGAGAATGACTACGTATGCCTCTGATAAGATATGTATATATGTTTTGTTCAGTTATGATATCTGTTATATGATGCCTTGTATACTCTATATATGACTTTCATGCAGGAGTGGGCCCAGGGTATGGAGAATTCTTTATAAACCTGGAACTTATTGAGATTTGTTATCTCACCCCATTTAGGGACATCATTTCAAGTGTACAGACTGCCAGTGAGCATACACGGGGAAGGGATACGATCCGTGGATAGAGTGCATTACGGACCGGATTTTGGGTAGTAGTATGCTACTATTATTTTTGGAGGATTGTTATTTTGCATTAGTATTCCATTTGTTTTGAGGATCATGATGTCTGATCCGTTACTTGTATATGGCCTGTATATATTTTGTACATGTTTTCTCCTTTGATGCATGTACAATTATATATTTAGGCATGACTATATTCTGATGTAGTATTCAGTTATATGTCTACATGTTGGTTATGCATGGTGTTAGACATAGTGACACGGAGCCAAGTTATATATGAGCCTATGGATGGGTATGTGACTTGTGATGGATACATGATAGTTCTGCAATCATAGATTATATAAATTGTTTATCAGGGTATCTTGAGAGTGGAATTTACAAATCTCCGTTTGTCCGATTTACAAACGTCACTCTGTCTGATTCTCGTCTCCATCAAATGAAAATTAAACTCGAAGAATATGCAATGTGATATATCATGTAAAAAGGATTAAAGAAAAAAGAAAAAGTTAGCTCATATTTTTGTAAGTTAAATCTTCTGCTATTTCTGTTTAGTATCATATGTGTGTTAACTGAACCGACTCGAGACAGGGATGTTACATAAGATATTAGTTGAAATGGGTGAGACGAACCTGTTGATTTTTTTTTTCATACTGGATCTAATAACTAATTGTTTTGTATTATGCCATTTCAATAATTTGATTTATGTTTACATTTGATTTTGATTAATTTCTATTTGTAAGTTTTTTTTTATTTGAACGAACCCACCATAAAAATAAGAAAGGTGAAATGAAAATCGGTATAATATGTATTGTTTTTATATTAAAAAAATTATCAAGTAATAATTATACTTTTTATATTAATACATAGTCATTAAGTTTAAATATAATATTTCAGGGTAAATGATTTCTTCATCAATGGAGATAAGTTATTTCCGGTGAGTTCAAAACGACGTCGTTTTGAGGCGAAAATCAAGTTATTTTTATAATTATAATATATTGCATGGTTATATTAGTCTTTATCATTAT